CCAGGTCAGATTTATATCAAGTCAATAAAACATGGTCCATTCCTTTTTTTTTTTTTTTTTCCTTTTTTTTATAAAACCCATAAAGGGGAGCTAATTAGATATATCAAGAAAAGCTACATCAAGAATACGAAAGGGAATTACATCAAACCACATTCATTGACCCACTTCCCTATGATGAAACCGGGTCAATTCATGAGCAACCCTATTCCCACCTCGTTTCACAAAAGACCAATAAACAATAACAAAGTTAGTGCAAAATAACAAAACGTCCCCTAAAATTAAATAAAATTCACTATAGCCAATCTCTTTGCTCTTCAAATCTTGGAAGACCTGCAAACAATCACCCTCAACTAAATTTTGGGCACCCATATTCGCAGCCAGCTGCAGCCCCCATCACACGGCTTTTGCTTCAGCCACCCTCACGTCCCACTTCTCACTACCCTGCTAGACCCCTGTAGCCATAACTTCACCAAAACCATCCCTGATCACTACCCCAAACCACACCCAAAGTCACCTACAAAGGCAGCATCAACATTAACCTTTAAGAGTCCTGCATATGTTGTCCAATCGACAGCAGCCTTCCCTGAACTAACAGCAGCAGCACAGCAAAAACCAGGCTTGGAATTTCCAGTCTTTATAGCATAGCTCAACACTTCCCCATAGTCCCTACACTCCCACTCCATGATCTGAGAGTTCCTAGCACCATAAATAGCCCAGCAAATGGCTATAAAGTTTGCTACATCACACTCATCCATATTAAAAAAAAAAACAGGATTCCTTAATTCGTCTTCCCTTCTCACCTAATACAATCAATCAAAATAACAAAATTAGAAACAAATAATTGAAAAAATCGAATCCAAAACACAAAAGGGGTAAATTACGAAGAAGATTCTGGATACAAGTAGCCCTAATGATGATCTACGTGCACATAGGAGTAACCTTAACTTCACCACCATAGTAGCTATCTTCAGTGAGTTCTCTCCTGAAAACTTTATTTAGTTCAGCGTAAATGACACCATCAGCACCGAACTTCCGGTTCTTGCTCATCTGAGTAGCCATTGTAGCAGAAACCAACTTGTTTTCTTAAAAGACCTAACAATATAGCACTCCTGAAATGAACCAACCATGAAATTCAGAACTGAATTTCAGAACTAATTTCAGATAACAATCTCTCAACTGATTTCAGAACACCGTCTCAGATTTAAATTAGAAATAATTATTAGGACTTATTTCAGAGCTGAATTTCAAAACTGATTTCAGAACTGAAATTTAGTACCGATTTCACAACTAAAAAACAGAACTGATATCTTGAAATGAATTTCAGAACTATAATTCAGATCTGATTTCAGAGCGGACAATCAGAACTGATGTTTAGAATTGATAAGCTATAGAATTTTGAAACATATAGAACTGCATCTTAGGCTGAATTAAAATATCAATGTTCCAGCTTATTGCCTCATAATAACATGATGAATTCATCATATTTCACCTTCTTCGGGAACAATTTCTTCACTGCATTCAGGTAAGCTAGGGCATTGTTGGTCATTTATCTCTATGGTGTAGAACTACAATAGAACTAAGATTTTGGTATGGTTTTTCTATTTGCAGATATAAATTTGTAGGATAATTAAGAAATAAAGAAACACTAGCCATAACAATTCACTTGATTAATAATTCAATTAACTTTATGAACATCATCATCTCTCAGCTTTTAATTTATGATTCGAATCAAGTACAACAAGCACACAATAGTGCGACAACAAGTGGTCAGCAGCAATTTTAGCACAAAAACAGGAAGGGATGAAATAGCAGGGTAGCAACAGAGGGAAATATTAGGGAAGCAACAACATAACAACTGCATTCTACTATCAAATAAATTGAGTATTAGGGGGCAAAGAATGGAACAGGGTATTAAGCTAGTTCCAGACAGCAGAATGCAACTGAAGGTAAGGCGAGCCATAGAAAAGGTCTAGAGTCCATTCATTCATAGCATAGTGACATACATCTGAGACAGATCAAATAAAAAAGTTTGGTACATTTCACCCTAACCGACAGGGGGATACTCATTATTCAAAACATTCAAATGTAGCATGTAGAGTAGACTCAATACCTTCAGCTAGATCATAACACCAACCATTTAACCATCTAAGTTTTCAATTTCAATTTTTTATTTTTGAGTATATTTCATGTAATATGAGTGAACTAGATAGGTGCTTTTTGGTTACATTGAACAAAATCAGATTATCAATTTTACACATGTTGAACAAAATTGCAACCCTTATTATTCAACAATGATACCAAATGTGATCAGCAGAGCTGCTGGCAGGAGCACCCGCAGGCTGGCTGCGGTCAGTGCTGTCCACCGCAAGCTGGCTGCGGACTGCACTGTTCCCAACAGACGCAGCAGCCCCTGTGGTGTCCGTGGCAGCATTGGCAGCCTCTGTGACCTCTAAAACAGCCTCTTAATCCTCCAAAAAATCCAAATCAACACCCACATTATCCCCGGAGCTTGCACTATAGTTTCGTATACCTCATCCCCGTTGACCCATTCCATTACACATAGCTGTATTTTTATTAAAGCAAACAATAAATCAGTTAATAAAGCAAACAATAAATCAGTTAATAAATCAGTTATAGGTTTTGTGATGAATTAGTAAAATTTCAATTAACCAGACTCATGGGAAAGTTTGTGGATGCTATAGATTCAATATCATCACTCAGAGAGTTTCAGCAACAATCAAAACCAATCTTTCCTTATTACTTCAGTAAAGACTTGTTTTTATTCTATACATGTAAACAGAAAACGATGAAGAAATTGGAGAAACAAGGGAGAATAATAACACCGCTGAGGGGGGCTATGATGAGGAAGGACGACAGATTGGTCAACCACTTGAACTTGAAGATGCATCTTTGGATACTGAACCATTGAACGACAAGGAACTCATGACTGTACCAGAGAATGAGGACCTTAACATTTCATCAAGTTTGACTTTATTATCCCTTAAAACATATATATATGACAATATGCTTCAAGTCATGTCAATTCACTACCCAGTGAGCTTATGCTTGATACAGGTGCTGCTAAAAAAAAAGAGGAACAGTATATTGTAGAAATCTTACCCTATTACCTTCTGGGGAAAAACTGAATGTGGAGTTTGACAATGATGGTGTGGCTATTGGTGATAATGCTTCATTATTTTCTTTCTTCTTGGGTCAACAAGTTCGAAATAAAGCTATATGTTCGGTACAAGTTAAATGTTGGGACGATTATAAATCTGAAACATTAGACCATTTGTGGGCTTGCATCACGGTAATATGTTATCATAATAAACATGTTTATGGGGTTTTTCTTTCTTTTATTAACAATGAAACATTGTCAACTTGATGTATGAGCAATAATTAATTTATCTTTGTCTTTTGCAGGAGAAGTGGTCATTTGATGACCCTAAAAATAGGCGGGAGTGTGTTATGAAACATGCATAACGTTTATTCAGAGGTGCTACGAGCAAATTGAAATCAAAGTAATTTAATGATAAAAACTTGAAAACAAAAGATGAACGTCTCAAAAATAAGCCCAGTCATCTGACTAAAGTGGAATGGAAGTTCTTGGTTAACTATTGGAGTGAAGAGGCGGTTATGGTAAAATACACAGATAGTATATCTTTATTCTTGTATAATTAACGTATATTATTGATTAAATCCTTTTTATTGTAGGAGAAGAGCAAAAAAGCAAGTGAAAGTAGGGCACATCAGAAGATGCCTCATTATAATGGCACTAAAAGCTTCGGTCGCACTAGACAAGAAATAGTATGTAACAACTATTCTTTATAATTTTAACTTTTGATTCTTGCCATATATAGAACTACAATACTCTATGATGTCACATCAAGCCTTAATTACTACCTTTACTACATTCTATCATTTTCTAAAGAGCTCAAAAGACTATACAAAATAAACTAATGAGACAAGCATCTGTTGCAGCTGTAAGTGGTTAGTGTTGCAGGCTGTTGTGGGTGGAGAGTGCTCCCCTGCTGTTGCTGCATTTTCTATGACTTGCACACAAGCCCTGCCTGTACACTAGCCCCCTCCCTTCCTGCATACCAGCCCCCTCGCTGCCTGCACACCTGCCCCGACCCCCTCCTGCCAGATGCCACCTGCCTACACATACCTGCATCCCCTCCCTACTTGCACACCAGCCTCCCTTCCCTGGATTTCCTACACACCAACCTAGTCCTTTCATACATAACAAACCCCACTCCCTCCTACCACTTACTTGCCTGCTTGCACACTAGCCCCCCTCGCCCTAGCATTCCTGCACACCACGTCACCACCCACGCCCCCCTTCCCTGGCATTCCTTCACACCACGTCACCACCCACGCCCCCTTCCCTAGCATTCCTGCACACCACCCACGCCCCTTTCCTGCACACACCTAATTATAATTTTCTGTTTTTTTTTTATTTTTTATTTTTTATTTTTTTTATTAGCTGAATTCTGAACACATGGAAAATTAAATTCTATTGGACATAACTAAATGTCATTAGCTTCCAAACCACTAAAATTTTATGAAGTAATTCTCGCACTTATTCAAAATATGCAAACGTACAATAATTAGGAGTGTAATTTGATTCTAAAAACTCTGTAATGTTTGTAGAGGAAGAAGAATGGCGGAAAGTGTTCTCGAGTTGATGTATTGGTTGCAACTCGTACAAGAAAATCTGAGAAGGTTGTGAATGCAATCAATTTGGCAAATAACACTCATGCAGTAGTAAGTTTATAAGTTTTATGTTTGTTATTTTCCATTTAACATTTACCATCTTATCTTCTAACTTAATATTGTTTATTCATAGGATGAGATAAACAAATTAAAGGAACAAAGATAGCAAGGTCTTAATGAGAAAAAAGATGAGAAAATTATTCATGATGTGCTTGGCAAAGATACACATGGGTATTTGAAAGCATATGGACCTGGTAGAAGTATTACGCAACATTTTCAAGTAAATCCCTCTCGAATTGATCTTACTCAAGAGGTGAATGAAGTTAAAAAGAAAGCAGATCAAGCAATTGAAGATGCAAGAAAAGAAGCTGAAAATGCTATAACAGAAGCAGAATAGGCTAAATTAGATGTTGAACAAGCCAAAAAAGAGGCGGAAGCTGTTAAGAATGACGTGAACAGAAAAATTGCTGATAATAATGCAGTTTGGGAGAAGAAGTTTAGTCAACTTCTGGATTTTCTTGGAGCAGGAAGTTCATCAGATTCTGATGTTTCAGGATGTCAAGGTTCAAAGGAATGAAGTAAGTAATGTTATCTTCACCGGTTATGCATTATACATTTTATCTTATATGCAATACAATTGTTACATTTTTTAAAGCTAAAGAATCTTGACCTCTTACGATTGGCTTATAGTCTTCCTAAAACTCACATTCATTACGATTGGCTTATATTCATTACAATTGGCTTATATTAACTTGATCATTTATCTATTTATTTATTGTAGGTAACAAGGAGCGGAGCACAAACATATTGTCACATGGTATATATAGAGTATATATTGTTCTTTAGCAACATGATTTGAGTGTTCTTTTTATTTATTTATTTATTTTTTTTTTTTTTGTAAGAGTGAGCTAGTGATGAGACAATGAGACAATTGATTTATAGTATGTTTGTATGTATGGATATCAAACTCAAGTATGTTTGAATGTACGGGATTCCAAGACATTAATATGGTTTTTTTTAATGTTATGTATCTATTTCAGCAATGACAAATATGACATATTTGAGGAAAACTCCATCTGTAATATTTAGTTATGCTTATATCATAGATAATGCTGCAACAAATTAAAGCTTATGCCTATTGAAATTAGTAGCCACGATAATCATTAGTGTCAAGAGATATTATTTGTCATGGTAGCAATGTGGCAATGGATTTATTTGTCACGGTATTATTTGTGGCAAACAAATAAATTAGCTACGGTATATTGCGGGGACAAAGTTTATTAGCCACAATAATATTTGTGGCAAAGAAGATTGCTGGTCACGGTAATGTTTGTGACAACCAAGTTTATTAGCCACGGTAGAATTTGTGGCGAAGAACTTGTTAGCCACATTAATATTCGTGGCAAGTGAATTTGTTTGCCACGTACATACCCGTGGCATAAAAATTGAAATTTGTCACGACATCAATTTTCCCGTGGCAAATTTCCTAGCCACGACCTCTTGTGTCACGGGAGTAAATTTCAAAATTCCCGTGGCTACACTACATTGCCACGAGAATTTTAAACTTGTGCCACGATTTTACTCGTGGAACAAAGGTCAATTTGTTGTAGTGTTACATCGATATCCATATTATCAATATCAGCATCACTGGGATAATCTTTAGGAATCCTGTACATTACATATCTAGCTTTGTCATCTTTAACTTTCTTCAAATCAATGCTAGTAAATTGTACACCCTGGTCTTCCTTTTTTTCAACTTTCTTTTCATATAAATCTTCATCATCATCAGTGTCTTCAAGCTTAAACTCAATATTGTCCAACCGTAAAGCTTTTAAAAGAGCTTGTTCACTTTTTCCAACATATTGTTTTGGTATGGCATGAGGATACAGTTTCACAGTGCCAAAATCAATATTTTCTGCAGCAGACTTAATCCTCTCATTCAGACTTTCACAACTCCAATTCATTACAAATGGGTTCCGATGCAAAGTGGTTCCAAACTCAAAATTTTGCAAAAATGCAATTACAAAAGCAATAAGACATCCATTTACTTGTTTGGATTTAGTTTTCAACTCCTCTCCTGCCTTCTTCTTCAAAAGAAATGCTTGAAAGTCTGCTATTGAACAACATAAGAAGTCCATAACATAACTAGCCCAGTTGAAAGACTTAATGAAACGTACATCTTCTAAAGACTTGATGATGTTAAAATTGGGGTTTGGGGGACTTATCACCCATTGGAGCCAAAACGTTAGAGACAACAAACATAACAAATAGTTTCTTAAAATCAGAACCACCCTGTCTATTTTTCTCAAAACATTTGATAAGTAACAAAATTGACATATGTCTTCTTCTTCTTACTCTGAACAACTTTTTCGGATTCCTTCTTACTTGGAACAACTTTTTCTTCTGTTTTCCTCTTCTTTTTATTCTGTGCTTCAGATTCATTTCCCTTTTCTGAATCATCTTCTACATCCAAACACAAAAACTTCCTCCACTCTATCTTCAAATACTCGTCAGGATTAAACGATTTCTTGTTTTTAGAAATCTCTTTCACAGCTATATCGGTATAAGGAATACCCAACACATCAACAATATCAGAACTATCAATATGAATTGCATGTTCCTTTTTACCCACAATCAGATTTCTAGCCTTGGGATTATAATGAGTTACTATATAACTATACAACTGATGTCTAATATTTTCCTTCAAATTCATATGAAGCAATCCACCAAAACCAATGTCTATTACATCCTTCTTTTGCTCATCACTTAAATCTTCCAGAATTTGACAAAGATAATTAGGACCAGATTTATTTCCAAGTTCAAAGTCTGAAATATCATCTTTAGTAAGAGCACTGAAAAATTAAAAAGTATAAAATAACATTAAAATTATAAGATGAATAAAACAAACTTATTCCTGACAATAATTATGTTATTCATGATAATAGTAATCTTATTTCTGAGGCTAATTATCTTTTTCCTAACAAAATTAAATTAATTTCTGACCAAAATAATCTTAATCCTAATTGAAGAAATATTATTCATTACTGAAGAAATTTCAATACTGACAAGAAGAACTTAATTTCTGATCAAAATCATCTAAATCCTGACAAACATATACTAATTTCTGATAGAAAGAATATAATTCCTTACAATATAATAGTGCATCCTGACAAACATATACTAATTTCTGATAGAAAGAATATAATTCCTTACAATATAATAGTGCATCCTGACAAAAATAACGTATTTAGATTATAAGATGAATTAAACAAACTTATTCCTGACAATAATTATGTTATCCCTGATAAAAGTAACCTTATTTCTTTGCATAAATATCTTTTCCCTAACAAAAATAACTTCATTTCTGACTAAAATAATCTTAATCCTGATGAAAGCATTATAAAAGGTAATGACACATATCTTAGGCCTGATTTAAATAATCTTATTTCTGAGCATAATTATCTTTTTACTGACAAAACTATCTTCATTTCTGACCAAAATAATCTTAATCCTGATAAAAGATATAATCTTAATCCTGATTGAAGCAATATTATTCATTTCTGATGTAATTTCAATACTTAGATAAACTTAATTTCTGACCAAAAATATCACATTGAAATTGTGAAAAAGAATAAAACGATCTTATTCCTGACAATAATTATGTTATCATTGATAATAGTAATCTTATTTCTGAGGCAAATTATCTTTTTCTTGACAAAAATAACTTAATTTCTGACCAAAATAGTCTTAATCCTAATTGAAGAAATATTATTCATTACTGAAGTAATTTCAATACTGACAAGAAGAACTTAATTTCTGACCAAACTATCTAAATCATGACAAACATATACTATTATCAAAATAAAATAATAAAATTCAAGATAATATTATAAAATGCTAATTTCTGATAGAAAGAATATAATTCCTGAACATATAATAGAGAATCCATACAAAAAAAATGTATTATCAAATTATAGCAATATAATTACATACAACAGTAAGCTAATTGTACACAAAAATATTCTACATAAAAACCTTAAGTTCTATGTTTACTAACAACAAATTGCATTTTATCGAACATCTGGCATGCATCTGGTTATACAAACAAAATTTTTTTTCGAATTTAAAAGAATTTATTTCGAATGTAACACCTAACAGATCGACTTCATTTAGAACCTGGTTTAGGACCACGCTTCTTCAATGGAGGCTGTGAATGATCACTACAGAACAAAATATTAAATTAGTGAATAAGAATTTTTTTTAAAAAGTATAACCTAAAAATAACTGAAAATAATAAACCTTTCAGCCATTGCAACTATCTGAATCTGTGTTGGTGTTGTTTAGTTCGTTTCTTATAAACTTTTAGAGATGAAAGGTCAGCCATTAATGTAGTCGAAAAGGACGAATATTAGGGTTTATATAAAAAAAATTAAAATTAAGTAATGGAGTGTAACTGCAAATAAAATTAAAGCTAGAAACTAAAGGAGTTATGCGAAATATTCGGGAAAATGGAGGCAATTTGATAGTAATGGAGTGTAACTGCAGAAAACGTGGGGAAGAAGGAGAAAGGCAGAACGTTGGAATGAATTTTGATTTTTTAAAAAAATGAAAAAAAAAAAACAGTTTAATTAATGTCCGGGTCGTGCGCGGGCGGAACTGTTAATAAATGGGCCGCGGGCGGGCCAACTAAAAGAACGGACTCACATCAGTCCATTCTACACAATATTTTTCAATATTAAATTAACAACACTAATCTACAAATAAGAACACCCAACCCAAGACTAATTCAAACTGCTATTCCCCATTATTCACAAAACCCATTGCAGCAACACTAAAACTAAAATTACTTCAAAAGAAAAAGAAAACAGTAGCAGCAAAAAAGTTCAATAATTTCTAACTTCAACACCAAAACTACCCAAAGCAATCACAAATTGTCAAACATTATTAATATAGCATAGATTTACAATAAAACAACAAATAAATTTGATAATTGAATTAAAATAAAATTAGGGCATTCAAATTAATTCAACTACTTACCACAATTCAGAAAATATTGAGCGTCGTACACTTGAAGACAATTGAGTATTTGAAACTCAGCGGTGGTGGGTACGGAGACGGTGGCGGCGACAGCAGTGGGTGTGGGTCCCTCGTAACTTCGCAGATCACTTGTTGAAACTTTTTTTTATTATTTTTCGTGATTTGTTTACCAGATGAAGTAAAAAGTGATTTTGTTTAAAAAAAATTATTTTATACAAAACCGCTACTTCAAGTAGCGGTTTACTGATACAATAACCGCTACTTCAAGTAGCGGTTTTATTATACACCGCTACTTGAAGTAGCGGTTCTCTAACAAACCCGTAAAAAAATTAATTACTCTGAACCGATGACGTGGACGGTAAGGTGGTAATTTAATATAAAGGGAATGTATTTAGGGAATTGGAGTTTTTCCCAACATTATTTTGGGAAAGAGCTCTGACTTGGCGCCACATGAGCAATATGTGTCACCTTATGTGTTTCATTCATTACCCTAAAACTCTTCACATGTATAACATTTATACTTAATTTCCCCATAAAATGTAACTCCTAAATTATTGTTGCAATTAAGACATTTTGTTGATTCTTTGGATGCTAATTTCCTAGATTCAATACTAACCAAGCAATTTACATATACTCTGTATCATTTACATAAATTATTATTTTATTATTATTATTGTATTCTTATTCACTTATAAATATTGGTGAACACAACCCTTTTATATTTAGTTTTTTCAAATATATAAATATATAGTGATCCGAGGCATCTCTTGGGCTAATAACTAATTTAATTTAATCAATCTATGTGTCAAAAAAAAAAAGGAAAAATTCACATTTACTACCAGCAAAAGCACCCCGTATCAGATTTACTACATGTCTAAAAAAATATTTTATATTACTACCACCATAACTCCCTAACTGTAGAAATAACTACTAGTGACTAACTCCGTTACTGTATCTGTTTGAGGGGCCCACAACTATGGCAGTCACCCCTCCACTTCATTGCCACCACCTCCCCCCTGCCGGCACTGGCGCGACCCCACCACACCCCCATGCCGGCGCGACCCCATTCCCTCCCTTTCCCCCACCTACGCAGAC